GCTTGAGACAGTCCAGTCCAACAGCTATTGATCTCCACTCGCCTGAACTTAGACCCAATGAATATTCCAAATAAGATCAGCTTCCTGCCTCTTCCTGCCTGGATGCTAATCAATATGCAATTACTTCCCCGGGAAAAGAGTTCTCAGGTTCTCCAACCAGAACCTGAACTTGGTTTTTTAGCCTCTTAGCATCTGGTCTCCTGAGGTAAAGGCAGTTGGAAGGGAGGAAGGGAGAGAGGGAGATAGAGAGAGCGAGAGTGAGAGAGAGAGAGTAATTGCTCATCACAGCACTCCTGAGGTGAAGGGCAGTTGGAAGTGAGGAAGGGAGAGAGGGAGATTGAGAGAGAGAGAGAGAGTAATTGCTCATCACAGCATGTGCATTTCTGTCAAGCATTTCAACAAGAAACGCAAAACAAAGCAAAAGCAAAGCGAAATAAAACCCAACCCAACCCTAGATCCACCAGAAAGCCCTAGAGTCAAAGAGCCCCGGACCACAGGCTGGAATCTGTTTCCAGTATGAGAAACCAAATGCATCTCAGGCTTTTCACACAAAAACCTGCTTCTTTTCCTTTCCTTCTCACCTTCTGACTTTAAGCGGAAACGATGGTGTCACTGTGGGCCGTGTTGAACAACCAGGAGTCAGAAACGCTCACCAAACGGCTGGAGAGAGGTGTCCGCCACCTCCCAATAGACCTGGACCCCACTTCCCACCCACTTTTCTCTGAGCTGCTTCCACAGACATAGGCTTGGGTAGAGACACCCACTCTGTGAGCCGGAGCTCCACATCACTGGGGGGGGGGGCAAGACAGGCAGCCTGGGGTCGTCCAAGTGCACCTAATGTTGCACCCTGTGAAGGGAGGACTTTATTCAAGGGACTGCATTCCTTTTTTTAAAAAAAAAACAGCTGTCTTGGTGCATCAGATCGCATCCTTCATGCCTTCTATAACCTTGATTTCCCTGCCCTTAAGTCCTCCTTCCTTCCATTCAGGAATAGCTGTGTGATCTGATCTTTGTTTCTGCCTTGGCCAAGAGACTTCTGGGCTTGGGGTCGTGAGACAGGCAAGCGAAGGAACTGATCCTACCTGGCCGGAGTCTCCGTGCCAGGCTGGGCTGCCCCTTCAGGCTTTCCATTGCATTGGAGGGGGATCGGTGGCGACTCAGAAGAGCCTGCCAGCCTTTGTTCTTTCCTCTCTCCTCCTCCTCCTCCTCCTCTTCCTCTCATCAGCTCATGTTCCACTTCATGCATCCCAATGCCTGTTCTCTCTGTGGGTGCTTCGGAACACAGTCTCCCCAAAACGAGATGTCTTCCGGAACAAATTGAGAGTTATGTTTTGCTGAATGAAACTGTGCCTTATATCAAATGTCTGCTTTTTTTTTTTTTTTTTTTTTTTTTTTTTTTTTTTTTGCATCGTTCCGTTGGCACGGATTACAAACGCCCGTCCGCAGTGGCACTCTGCAGCAGCATTTCATACGGATGGCCGATTTGTTCCCGGCCGCACCTGATGATGGCAGCTGCTGCCGTGGCAAAGAAGCGGAAAATCCTGGTCGGTTTGCTAACTAGCGTCCTGCGTTTGTAGGCCAAAGCGAATGTGGGGTAGAGCCAGCTCAGCTCTTTCCATGAAAAGGAAACTGGCAGAAGTCTATGTGAAAGAAGTGCCTGGAAAGCAGTGCATGTGAAAACTGTGGTGTCCCAGGGCTCCCTAAGTAGCGCTTAGCACTTGGTCAGAGAGTTCCACCACTCAGTCAGAGAGTTCCACAGACCACTGACCTACCACCTTTGTGCTGGGGCAAGTCCCAAGACCTCAGCAGTCCATAGCGTAAGCACTTTGAACAAGTCTGACCTTAAAAAGAACACTTTACTTTTACCCAGTACTTTGCAAATACAGACACATGGGCTTTGTGATTCCTTAGAACTCACAACAGCTCAGTTAAGTAGGACTCTTAAAGATAGCTAGTTGGTGGCCCTCTCCACCTCCTGGATTTAGCCAGACCCTTCTGTTCAAGAGAACAGTCCTTTTGTAAGAATATTTATAATTGGTTGTTGTGGGTTTTTCGGGCTCTTTGTCCGTGTTCTGAAGGTTGTTCTTCCTAACATTTTGCCAGTCTCTGTGGCCGGCATCTTCAGAGGATAGCACTCTTATAATTAATTTTTATTAGAAAAATAGAGTTTCATTGGAAATCAGTTTATATTGCACAAGATTTAGCATAAAGAGCATATTCAGAGATCATTACAGTTAAATAAAATAACTATTTCCCATTAAAATAATAAACACTACTAAGCTGGGCTGAGGTGGGCTAGCCCCACCTCCTTCTTTCCTTTTACTTACCTCCTCTCTCCTTTGAGTCACATGCTCAAACCAGCATCATGGAATCAAATTCCGGAACAAGACTTAACTGAACCACTTCCACATAACCCATCATCCATTTTCTACACTCTCTAACTCCTCCCTTCTTCTGGCGGTTAATCAATTAGCCTCAAGGGGCTGTAACACATTCCTCCTTAATTCTCATGAGAGTGGAGGTGTTTTATCTCTTCTCCAGTTAGCTCAGAATGTTGATTCTTCCCCTGGTCTCTTTGTCTGACCTTCAGCTTTTATCTCCATCCAGGCTGTGCCAATCTTCAGAAAAACACTCTCATGGTACTTAGAAAAACACATTCCAATGTCTCTCAAATCCCCTTCACACAGAACCTGTCTGACTCCGTCTTACATTTCTCTGACTACATGTCCCATCGCCATGACCAAAACTGTGTACCTAAGGAACAGCCTGTCCTGGAATGGCACGTAGAGTGCAGGAAGGACGGGTCAGATGGAAGCCCCAAGAAGGACTTGGGAGGCTGGTCCCAGCCACCCTGCTTGCAGTGAAAGGCGAAAATGTTAGGGATTTTGGTCATGGGCATAGGGGCAAGATTGCAAAAGTTGTGTCATTACACAAAGTGTGGAAGACACGGCAAGAGTGAGTAGGATCACCCACAGCTATGGGTGTGGGGACAAGCCAAAGAAAGGACTTCCCAGCAGGTAGAATTAATTTGTGGGATTTGGTGATATCGACACTAGGTGTGGGTGGACCAGGATCGCTGGAAGGCCCAAAGACCCCTCAGTGAAACCTTCAGGCCGAAAGGCGAACCACCCTTCTCTGCTCCTGGCCAGTTGCTGGAGATGGAGAGGGGAAGCCGTTTGTTTCCCTCCTGCTCAAAAGAAGGTGGTGCCCGCTGGGAGCAACCAGCGGGTGGTCGCTTTCCTCTGGTCGTGCCAGGCTGCTTTGCTCCTCCTCAGGTAAACCTGTACAGAGGAAGAGGCTGCTGGCATGGCCCAGGAAGGGTGTGTGTGTGTTGATAAAAGGGCTTCCCTCTCCCCTCCACCTGGACAGAGTGCAGTTGAGAAGGAAACATAAAATAGATTCATGTCTTGACATCATTTCCTCTTTTTCCTGCCTGTTTCTGGTTATTTGCACAGACGTGTTGAGCTGGCACACAAGAAATATGGAACGTTAGTAGCAGATCGATAAGATTATGAATAGGGGGTGTTTTCTTCCTCCTTGACATGCACATGGCAGCACATTCCTCTTGCTTTTTACGATGATAAGAGGAGGGGAGACCTGAGCCCTGTGTGCAGAAACTCCGGAGAGCAACAGGGAGTCCTCCGGAACATCTTTCAATGCCATCTGACTGCCTGAAGCAGGAACGTTTCCCAGGAATGGACAGTTAGTGTCCGTAGGAGCCCCTTCTCCTGGGGATGCAGGTGTCAGGAGCTGGCCTGGGCTTTGGACAAGTAGCTTGTCTAAAATGGGGACGTGGCTTATCTCAAAAAGAGGCCTTCAGCATCCAGCTGTGTAACAGAAAGAGGCCCCATCACCCCTCCTCCGAGGGGTGCTGGCCTTGGCGATCTCCAGGTTGAGAACACACGGCTCCCACCTCTGGCCTCCTGCAAATTGTTAAGACATGGCCCTGTCAGTCATTCCCTTGACTTCAGGTTCCCTCCCATGTAGAGAGGGACTGTTGGTGACCCGGCCCATGGAAAGGAACGCAGTAAAGGTTGTGCAATGCTATGTAAATGGAAAGCGCCATCCCAGTTGGTAGCAGCACAAATGGGGCTTAATTCTGAGTGCAGGGTGAAAGCCCTTTCAGAGCTGGGCTGAGGCCTGGAGAGCAGTTTGCGTTCTTGCCTCCTGATAGTTCGCAGATTTCTTATATACTAATGGTTGCCTTGCAGAGGGTGAGTGGTCGAGGTAGCTTCTTCAGTTGTCAGTGCAGAAAGAGGGGAAAGGATGAACTTTAGGCCATCTGAGTTGGAACAGAGAATGCCAGAAATTCTCATCTTGAGTCTTAAAGCTCCTCTCTGCTGTTGGTATGTCTTCCCATGCCGCGTACAACAGCTGGCAGAGAAAATCTTGTGCAGGGCAAAGCTAGGGGTAGAAAGAATGCTTGCAAATTCTTCCTTCTCATTGATTTATTCTGTTCAGATTGCTTGATTCTTGATGAAGAATGAAGGATTCCTTAGAAACTGAGAGCAGGACCTTTTCAAGGTCTCTGTGGCATGCATAAAATCTCTCAGCATTTTTTCCTCATTGGGAAGTAAAACACACACACACACACACACAGAGAGGTGCCAGAGTCTTAAATAAAGCAGCAGCCAACCTTGTTTCAGGCCAGTGGCATCATTGTGCAGTTTTACAACAACTCTGTCCAGAGTGCCAGGAAATGCCTTATTTTCTTACTGGTGAGGAGAAGAATGTTGTTATTCTTTATCCTTGTGTGTGAGGATGGGACAGTTTAGGAGTTGCAAAGCAAAGTAGACAAAACAGCTGGACAGCTCAGCAGTTTAAGCATCTGGCTGCGGAGCCAGTGGTTCAGAGTTTGATTCCCCAGCCCTTGATGGGCTGAACTCAAAAATCCATAGGGTCCCTTCCAGCTTTGCAGTTCTAAGGTTATTATTATTATAAAACACACGGCCTGTTGGTACGCTGAAACAAACATTTTGGGGTTTTGTCTCCTCAAACAGAGAAAAGAAGATCTCCCGGAGCAGTGCCTTGAAAGTCCTGGATCATGCCATGATTGGGCCCGAGGGGGCAGACAACTGCCACAAATTCGTTGACATCCTTGGCCTCCGAACCATCTTTCCTCTCTTCATGAAATCCCCGAAGAAAATCAAGAAGGTTGGCACCTCTGAAAAAGAGCATGAAGGTAAGGAAGGCTTGAATCCATGCCCACCTGTCCACCCTCCCGGGGGGGGGGGGGGGAAGGAATCTCTCCTCCACCCAAGCCTCCACATATCCTTCCCCAATAGAGCAGTATGCGATGCGTGGATAGATTTGCCTAGTCGGTTATTGCACGGAGGCTGGGACTTGCTTCCAGCCCCGTCTCCTCCTCCAGCTCCTGGCATGGTGGTTAATTAGCTCTTGCATATGCACATGTGAGCCTGCCGTTTGAAGCCGTCTCTTTGATGCCAAACTCCTTTGAAAAGAGTAATGAGCCAACCGCAAATGTCACCTCCAAAGCTTGCGCTTCTCCCGGCGCCCGCGCTCAAGTGTGACGCGAACATCAGGCGTAGCAGAAGGGGTCTACTTGGGGGGAGGGGCCATTCCCTCCTTCTTTAGTTTCCCTCTAACACACCCGCCACTCCCCAGGGGAGGCCAGGCTTTGGCAAAGGGATCCGGAGTTCCCGTCCACCCAGTCGGCGTTGTATTCCAGTCTTCTTGTTTCCTCCTTTTGACCAGAAAAATAAATAAATAAATCCCATGGCAAGCAAGAAATGCCGAGCCTTCTGTGATCCGAGTCATTCATGGGGTGAGAGCAAAGACAAGCTCTTTACTGGTCATTAAGGAGGAATATCGGCAAGTGTTGCAAAATATCTAATACTGCATGGGGGAAAATGAGGGGCCTTGCGTGTCAGCGCAATATGTGTACAAATGCCCCCACTGACCTTTTCCTGGTTCAGCAAATCACCCCCCACTTGCGCCACTGTCTTCTCAAACCACTGTGGAAGCGACACGGTGAGTCCCCGGGGAAGCCAGCCCCCGTCTGCCTGGTGGTTGCCCTTTCGGCTAAAGGGTCTTTGCAAATCGATCTCTGTAAGGCTAGTGGGACATGGGCCAGAATCCTCTTGGGTTCTTCGTAGTGGTCTCTGTGAATGCACACAAATGGGTTATCCTGCGCCTGCGCAGGAACGCCAAGGGTTTCTCAAAGTAAATTCGAAGTTGGTAAGCTGTTTTTGCAAAAGATTCTCTGATCTTGAGGAAGCCCTGGATGTTGTTCACCAGCCTCTGTCACAGCAGCTGCTGTCTCTTTCATTTTATGGATCTGGAAAGCGCTTGTGGGTCTGTGTGAGTCGTAGACCTTGGTTCCCCTTAGTTTGGCTCTGCTCAGGTAGACAAGCTGCTTTTCTCTTACAAGGACAAGGAAAGCTCCTTCAGGAGCCTGAAGCTATTCTACCTGCAGCGGTGCAGCTGGTATGTTACAGTGGACCCTTGACTTACAGACTTACGGCTTGACTTACAGACTTTTTGAGTTACAGACTTCTCTGGCCGCAAAATTTAGGTTTGACTTGCAGCCTGAGATTTGACTTACAGACCAGAAAAAAACCAAAATGGAACAAAAATGGCCTGTTACGGGATTAATCGGTTTTCAATGCACTGTAGGTCAATGGAGACTTGACCTACAGACTTTTTGACTTGAGAACCGCCTTCCAATACGGAGTAAGTTCTCAAGTCAAGACCCCACTGTACCTTCAATTTAAGGCACAGGACTGTGCAGGGATCCAGTGGAAAGCCTATGGCTTTGCTGCCTGGAAAGCAAGTCCTTCCCATGGCCTTGCAGGAGGTGGTGCAAGGTCGCATGGGGGTGCTGGGGGGCCAGTTCCCAGATTTGATGGCGGTCCCCAGGCATGGGACGCAGTCCGACCCTTCGGCCTTATCCTGTTCTGTGAGCTTCACACTGTTTAATGGTGAATTGTTCATAAATCCATACGCTAGTAGGCGCACGCTTCTCTTTTGTGATAGGGCCGGTTGTGGATTATGGGTTTTCCAGACTTTATTAGTTTAATACTCAATGTCTTCTAGGGGGTTGGATTCCATGGCTCGACAAACCCCTTCCAACTCCAGGATTCTTTGATGTCCAGACAGTCCAGCAGAACCTGGAACTGTTAAGTGGTTTGAGGGCGTCTCTCTCAGATAAAAGTTTCCAGATCTGTTTGTCAGCTTTAAATAAATCCTGAATTCCAAACTAAGTTAGTCCAGTGAGGACCCACGTTTTTCAGGCCTGGATAAGGAGCCTCCTGGCGCAAGGGTCAAGCAGCCGAAACTGTGCTCACGACCTGCCGTTCAATCCCAGGGAGCCGGCTCAAGGTGGACTCAGCCTTCCATCCTTCCAAGGTTGGTAAACTGAGTATCAAGCTTGTTGAGGGGTGGGGGGCAGTGGAATGTGTAGCTTGCATAATTCACTTATAAACTTCCCAGAGGGTGCTTTCAGCGCTGTGGGGCGGTAGATCAGCAGCACGCTTTGCTTTTCCTTTGCTTTTGGATAGCAGCTATAACATGAAATCGGAGACATGACTCTCCCCTCCACTTTCCACCGCAGGGCTTCTGGGGACTGTGTGGCTGGTCACTAAATTTGGGTATATTCCGTTCTCCAGTCAGATGGAAAGAGCTCTGACACCATAGGTGTGTTGGTCGTGACCTGAGCTGAGCTGGAGTCTTCTCCCTACCTTTCATCTTGCGACAGTAAGCTTCACCCCCCCCCCTCCTTGGGCCTTCTTGAATTGTTGGTTTGAATGGTTTCAGGGAGCCTTTCAGCCTCGGAGAGCTGTGTGCACGCACAACCTGCCTTAGCATTTCTCCTGTGCGTAGGGCCATGGTGGTGTGGAACGGATCCTGGCTCTCTTGGGTGGAGGTCAGGATGAGCAGAGTGTGCCCCCTCCCCCTAGACTCCTGGGCCCCCTTTCCATGCTTTTTATAGTTTTATAATGTATCAAAATATCTTGGGCCACCAAAAGGGGGCATGGGGAATATTTTTGCCACGTTTATGGGACTGGACCCCAAAATTCAGAACATTTTTGAACAAAGGAAGAAATTTCCGTTAGAGATTGAAATGTTTGTGTTTTTTTTGGTTTTTTTTTTTTGGCGGGGAGTGGAAAAAATGTTAGAGATTGAAATAGGTTTTTTTTTGGCGGGGAGTGGAAAAAATCATTTTGAGGAGTGATGCTACCCTCCAAGGTCAGTGGGGTGGGTGTTCTGGGGAACATATCCCCCTCCCTGTGTATGGAAAGTGTTACCAGCTGCTCCCCTAAAATCCCAAGTGGATTTCCCCCCCACCCTTTGGCACCCTTAATAAAAGGAATTGGGCTAATGCTTGCATTTAACATTCAGCCCATCACCGAGAGTGCACCAAAATCCCTCGCGTGTGTACCTATGCCTTCCAACTCCACTCCTGAGCTGGAAATCTGAAAAGAGGATTTTTTCCTGCTCGACTATAAAACCTTAAGCAGTCACTGCCATTTAAATTAAAGAATGGCGTTAAGCTGTTCACTAATAGGCACTTTGTGTTAAACAAGGATTAAAATGTGTGTCTTGATGGCTTTTGTTGCCATTTAAGACTCTCACCACTGAGCTGCCTGGGCTGTGATTCGGCTGTAATCACCCCCCCCATTCCACCTTGGTCTCAGGGGTTCCCCCCCAGCCCCATGGGCTCACTCTGTGGGCCAACATACCTCTTTATCTGGCCTCTGCAGGCCTCGCTTGATTCAGGGGGTCAACGGATCCTAGCACTGACCACCAGTGATTGGCACTGGGACCATCTCAACTTAAAAGCAGCGGTAATTTTAAAGAGCCTGTTTGAGCCCAGTCCTTAGCCATCAGAGGTAGAACTGTGGTCTTGGCCGGGCATGTGAAGAGGCTTTCTGGTGGGACCCCTTCTTTGCAATCCATGTTTCCTCCACCCCACCCAGCAAAATTTATGGACCTGGAATCCCTCAGGTCAGCTCAGGCTCTTTCCCCTGGAACCAAGGATGTGTGTGCTGTGTTGACACATCTCTGGCTTGCCCTTGATGGCAGAAAGTGAGGAGGATTTAAAGAACCTCTTAATGAGGGTGAAAGAGGAGAGTGCAAAAATGATCTGAAGCTTAACATCAAAAAAAAAACTAAGATCATGGCCACTGGACCCATCACTTCCTGGCAAAGTGGGGAAGGGGAAGATATGGAGGCAGTGTCATATTTTACTTTCTTGGGCTCCGTGATCACTGCGGATGGTGACAGCAGCCATGAAAGTAAAAGACGCTTGCTTCTTGGGAGGAAAGCAACGACAAACCTAGGCAGCATCTTAAAAAGCAGAGACATCACCTTACCCACAAATGTCCGCATAGTCAAAGCTATAGTTTTTCCTGTCATGATGTATGGAAGTGAGAGCTGGACCTTAAAGAAAGCAGACCGCCGAAGAATTGATGCCTTTGAATTGTGGTGCTGGAGGAGACTCTTGAGAGTCCCCCTGGACTGCAAGGAGAACAAACCTATCCATGTTCTAAAGGAAGTCCACTCTGAGTGCTCACTGGAAAGACAGATCCTGAAGCTGAGGCTCCAATATTTTGGCCATCTGATGAGAAGAGAAGACTCCTTGGAAAAGCCCCTGATGTTGGCAAAGTGTGAGGGCAAGAGAAGAAAGGGATGACAGAGGACAAGATGGCTGGACAGGGGCACAGAAGCCACCAGCATGACTTTGACCCAACTCCGGGAGGCAGTGGAAGACAGGAGGGCCTGGCATGCTCTGGTCCATGGGGTCATGAAGAGTTGGACACGACTTTAACAACTAAACAACAAAGCCTTGCACTTCTGTGGGGTTTGGGGAAGGGAAGAGGGCCTGGAGGAGGAGGAGGAAGAAGAAGGGGCAGCCTGCCCCTTTCATGCTTGGCGGAGGAAGGCGGAACATCTCTGCTGCTCTTGCCACCGCAGACTAGCAGATGTTTTGCAGTTCTCTCTGGGCCGCTTGTCTCTCCTTGTCCATCTTAATGGCCCATTAACTAGGGGGCCTAATTATACCAGCTGAGATGACAGCCTTTTGAAAATGCTTTGCAGTGAAAAATGGGATGGTGGCATCTGCTTGAGACGTGAGCTCTCCTGGGGGGGGGGATGCTTTCCCGACTCAAGCACTGTTTTTTCATTGTTGTTTTGAACATTCTTGCGGAAGAGTGGCACTTT